CCGCCCCAGTAAATTCGGTCGGCGGCAAGAAAGTTTCCCGCAAGTCTTGAATGAGCCCTAAAAGTTAAAAACTACAGTCCACCGTATCAAAAGCTGCACCCACAAGCAGTATGCTTTTGCTGTTTTTTTTTCTTGTTTTTCTTCAGCATTGTAATGCGAATTTGCAACGTTCACTTCAATACTTTGGAACAAAAAGAAATATTGTCGTTTTGCTCTCTTTTTTGTTGTTTTTCACCAGCCTACACAATTGTTACCGTCTGACGCAGCAGAGCGGCTTGTCGGTGATTCTGTTTGACGAAGTATTTTCAATAGGGCTATACCCATCCGACCCTTGCGGTGTATTTCTCCTTGCTCACAACAACTACGAATCTCAAATAGATGTAGGTACTAGTACCTGAACGTAAAGCTGAATTACATCGATAATTTATTAAACGCATCGCGCGGCGAGTCTAAAGCGTCTTATAGTGTCGCCGCGCTGCCAACGACGTATAGCGGCGCATTGGCCGATAAAAACGCGGAAGCTCAAAGCAAGAAGCGCCAAGACAATAAAACACCCCCTCCCCAATGCTTCCATATCTCTCAGTGAGTGTAGACTTTTCCAGCGCTTATGAAACGCCGAATCAATGGGATGAGAACGCACACTTGGCGCCTCATATTTCGTGAGAAAGAGCTACAGGGAACACTCAGAACGCCTGCCACAGCCCATAGGTTGGATTCCGTGTTTTCGGAGTTTATTTTTCGTCATATCCGAAGCGTGTTTTTTGGAGTTTATTTATTTCCGAAAATTCGGAGTTTATAGGAGTTTATTTCTGTTTAATTCCAACATCGCCGAAATTCGCAACTTATAAGTTCGCAGTGTTCCCTATGAAAAATAAGTAAATAATATTCACCTATAAACGTATGCTAGATAAAAATAAAAATAAAATGCGCTTATATTAAGCAATATTTCAGAAGCTGGATTTGGTATGGGTGCCCTTGCCATTGAAAACCTTAATTTGTCCCACAGCAAATGTTGCACACATGTGTGGCTTCGATAAACGTCGATACCTTAAAAATAAACTCCTGGAGGTTTTCGCTGAGAAGCACGTATTCATCCCATCCTGTTCTATGCTCCCCCGCAGCCAAGCGAAGTAGAAGCGTAAAGGACGTAATAAGGAAGCTTCAACTGTCCCTCTTCCCTATTTCATGCAGTCTCTATGGTCTAGACCAGGGGTGGCCAGGCTGACCCGGCCTAAGAGCCGCAAACAGAACCACGATACTTCCAAGAGCCGCGGGGGGGGGGGGGGGGGGGGGGGGGGGCAACTTTTGTTCAGGGCTATAAAGAAATCTCGGACTACTTTCAATTTATCCGAGTCAAAAGCGGTCCAATTTACGTAAGGTATCAGTAGCACAAAACTGCCCAAACCGCAACCTGTCTTTCGATTTAAAACGCGTTCCCTTTCTCTTTTTGGGGAAGTGCTCGTGTGACCGGGAGGGAGGCGGGAGAGGGAAGGGGGGGCGGGTTAGGGGAGATAGCTGCGAGCCGCACTTTAACACGAGAAGTGCCGCATGCGGCTCGCGAGCCGCAGTTTGGCCACCCCTGGTCTAGACTCTATAGCTTTCACTCTTACAAAAACACAACTTCTCCTTCCTTGTAAAACACAAATAGTATGGCCCAAACTGGAAACCAATACAGAGGCTTTTGTTATTACCCGAAAGTTCAATGACATGTCGTCCTGAACATTGACGAGATAAGCGGTAAGACCCCTTTTGTCAATGATCCGACATTTCAAAGATAACTCTGGTGGCATTTTCCGGGGATCATTGGCCCTGTACGCCGATTCAACTTAATTGTAAAAAACCTACTTTATTTTATTTCATTCTTCTTTTTTTGTGGGAGGGGGGAGGGAAAGGGGGATTGGAACATAAAACGTCGGAGTTTATAGGATAAATCTCAATTGACCAAAATTTTACCGACAGGTGTTTTTCGGAGTTTTTCGGCCGAAATTATGGAACCCTACCCATAAGGAGACAAAGATGGCAGCGCCCTGAAGAAGAACTCTATCTTTTCGCCAAGCATTTTTTTTTTTCCGAGAACTGTAAAAACATTTAATCACCGCGCCCTGTGCCTAACTTTTTTTTTTTTTTTTTTCGCGAAGTCTTTGTGGTTGTTTTCTAAGCAGACAAGAAAAAGATAGCCACGAGGACAATACAGCAGAACGGGGGACTATACAAAAGTCGACAGTAACGCGACCGCGATCTCCGTAACTGCTCGAGTCACTAAATAGATTCGCTGCTGGAGATAACACCTTACTATTTTCGGTAACGTAGTAACGTACATCTTACATTCTCAAAACGTAAATGATGACGCACTTTGGTCACTTATTTCGGGTAACAGATAGTGTACGCAGTCATGGTCCTCGTTATATCTTCCCAAGACTTAAAAAAAAAGAAGAAAAAAAACTTACACTTCTGTTGCTGGTTTTTTGTGTGCGTTGTGTGTCTCTAGGCGCCATTTATTTTAATTATTGCGCTCATCCCATGTACCTTAACAATTTTGCGTCACTTTTACAAGCGCCAACACTCCCGCTTCTTTTTTTTCTTCTTTTTTTAATATGGCGTTTATGCATATTTATTGCTACGTCAGAGCACTAATACATTTAAATTAGTAAAAAAAGTGTAAAGCAAAGTAACATCCGTTAGTTTTGGTTGGTAACGGTAACGCGTTCCTTTTATTTTGAAGTTACGTTGGTCGGTAGGCTGTTCCTTTTATCTGGAAATAACAAGTAACGTTTTGTTACATCTGTTTTCTTTTTTTGGTAACGCCCACAACACTAAATAAGCTACGCTTCGAGTATCGGCACTCCATGCACCAAATTAGTTTTCTGGTGCCGCCATTTAGTGCTTCGTGCAGAGCGAACGCAAATTGCGTTCCTTACGATTGACTAATGAAGAAATAAAATGTTCTTTCAGTTTTTTGGTCGCGAGTGTCATGAAGCTGAGCGCCACATTGTTCTGCTGTGTCGAAGACTATTTAAACATCTCCGGAGGATAAAAAATCGTTTCCTCTGCTTTCAAATAAAGCTACAAATTGGCTGGCAACAACGGTTTGAAGCACCAAAGATGTCCGAAATGTCGTTACTTCGATGCTTAGATTATTTAGTGGTCCTGTACTTTGTATCGCCTCGAGTCCGGACGCACCCGACGCTACGATCTGATGGCACCAGTAATCAGTGTCAAAAGCACACCATCATGGTGTTCGTCATGTTTCTGTAATGGTACTATCATCGCAGAACCAATCATAAACAAAAATAATCCCTTATGACTTGAGCTTTTGACGCTGGTTGATTGGTCCCCTTACCTCGTTGCGTCCAATGCGCCTGGACTTGAGCTGAAACAAGTAATATCAGTCCAGCTCCTTCTCGTCCTTCATAGAGGTGAACAGAAGATTAAGAGTGTCTTCGTCTGGAACCGTCGTGCGTGCGACTACTCAGATGTACCCAGCACCCCATTGGTCCGAAGGCGCCAGAAGACAGTAGTAACATCTGACATCATTAAATCGTGGCAATGGCGTCCAGCCACTTTGACTCCCACCGGTTGACCGGTTATAACCTGCATGGAGAGAAAGAACAGGAACGAAGGTCACAGTATGCCAGAGAAAAAGCGAACTATGCTGGCAGAAGCTGAGAGAGAGGAGGAGAGGAGATCGAGGGGGGAGGGGGGGATGTCGGAACGCCGAGCTCTGGTTGGAATGATTAGTGGGTACACGTAAAGCTACCTGCCTTTGTGTACAAACGCGGAAGCCGGACGCCGGCGTTCTGCGTTCTAACGGGTTCGACGTGTGCAGCAGAAATAAAGATAGGTAGCTTTGCATCTACCCACTAATCATTCCAACCAGAGCTTGGAGTTCTAAGGTCCCCGCTCACTCTCCTTTCCCCTAGTTTCTGCCCGCATAGTCACTAAGAGAACGAGAATGGCAGGGTGTGTCTTTCGAACACCCGGTCTCCAGAACGCGCTCTTTGCCTTCCGCTGTGCTTTGTCCGTGCGTTCGCACTTGGAAACTCGAGGTTTGTCAAGGTATAGGAAGCTCGCGCTGGGAGGCGGGGCGATTGAAACTCCTTCCTGCCGTTCTCGCCTTCTCATTGGCTAAAATATCAAGGGCGTATTACGGACACGCGAGAGTTTGTTGATACAGTCGGTGTGAACGCGTTACATATAAAACGAGAGTGACGCCACCCTTCGGGTTTTCTATTCAACGGGCATTCACTCGATGGCAATGCAGAAATCAAGGCGTATAGCTTAACGGGATATTTGCAGCTGCTTATTTCGGAATTTTTATTTCAAAGTCACTGAGCATTGGCTGCATTAGCATTATTGCCTAAGGATCTGTCTTTGCATTCTCTTGTTTAAAAACAAAAAATGCGCTAAAAAGCGTGTAGCCCAACGATAGACATTAACATACATGCAAACACACTACAGCGACGCATAGTTTCACAGCCCCTGATTGCTTCGGTCACACGACTCACCCTTTCTGATCAACTTTGCTAGAACTCTGCTTCCCAGAAAAAGTCTCTGACTGGTGTATTTGCGGGGTCCTAAAGAGTGATCCCTATATTTCCGCCTGATGACGTCGTAGAAGTTTTCGTCTCATTTGCTTGTGTGATGTGGTCGCCAAACGCGATCCTGGCGCTGTCACAGCACCGGCGGTGAACCAGGCAGGCGCCCATATCGCTACCGGTTCCACGGGAGCGTCAAATTCCAGGACTTGTGGCGCCGCAACGGCAGCGACACCCGCGTTGTCTCCTACTTTTTGCAGGTACTTCTAGCTCCAACCACCAGGATCGAGGCATCATCCAACACCATGACCCACCGGCTTCTGTGACGTCATTTGTTGCCGTTTTGGGACCACTTTTGATGTATGGGCCGGAATGGACGCTAAACACACCAATCGAAGAGCGAGCCCGGCACCGTACAAGATCTGAAGGGCGTTGTGGAGTCCCGTTTCCCTGAAAGGCTCCCACCCTCCCATAGGTATCTTAGGGACGAGAACTAGCTTCAGTTACATGTCGAAATTTGAATATAATAAGGAGAAATGTTTTTCTTTTTTTCTTAAAGTAACGCGTTGTTGTACGGGAGGCACCTTCGTATTTGGCAAACCCACGCACCTTGCATCTTGGGCCTGCAAAGACACGTTTGGATCCTGGCTGTTGCCGAAGGCGTACATGCGAATGCTGGTCCGAGTGGAGCGCCGCAGGCTGCTCTCGCGGGCGATCTTGTAGCGCAGCTTGACGCGGTCGAACGAGCGCGCCACGTGAGTCTGGACCTGCGAGAGCAGTGGACTGCCTCAGCCGGATGTGGCGTCAGCTAGTCTCTTTAGCACCGTGCACACATATGCGACAGAGTAAGACCGAGAGAGACCGGACCGGTTTTTAAGCCTCTTGCGACGTCTTAAGACCGGGTGCGCTGCAGCGGAGCTGGTCCTAAGAAGTCGCAAGAGGCTTAAAAACCGGTCTGGTCTCTCTCGGTCTTATTCGGTCGCAAGAGTGTGAACGGACCTTTAAGCCGGGGTCACACGGCTCATACATTATACAAGAAACAGTCTGCAAACGCCAGCCAGCTCAATTTCCGTGGCTCAAATGCCGCGTGCCCAAGTTTTCCTTTGAACTCATTGTTATGCGGCATTCGAAACACGGATCTCGAGGTGACACGAGTTCAAATGTGTTTGCAGACTGTCCTTTGCATGATGTATGAGCGGTGTGACCACGGCTTTACAAATTTGGTGCTTCGCTACCCAGCTAACTAAGATGAGGGCTCTGGTCAGCATATTTTGTTTTTCCGGTTAGAACAAAGCAGTATGCGGACCAGTTTGATTTTTGCTAATTTAGCGACGACCATAACACCGAGACTTCTATCTCGAGAACATCCGCATGTCAAATCTAAAGTCGTTAGTATGCTCAGAGTACTGGCACTCCTTTTCTTTTAATGTCCGACTCCACTACGACTGTCATTTGTCTGTTGCCATCACGTGACATTTATTTACGCTCCAGCGGCTCGTTACCACCACCATTTTGGTAGTTTGAACCGCACGTGATTCGTCACCACCAGCTGTGGTTCTGAAATCTAATCATAGCGATATCTTTTTTTTTAGCAGGAGCAACTGCCAAAAATAAGACTATATGATGTCGTCATCTAGCCGTCAAAAATAAACAAAAAAACTTTAAATTATAAGTACTTTTTATGATGCTCCTATAAAAATCATCAGGAAAGCAAACACTGTCGTATAAGGAGGCGCAAAGCCATCTTTGCATCTTCTGTCAGGCATATAAATGACAGCTGATACAATTGGTAATCTTTATTCAACTCACCAATATGGCTGAAGTTTCATGACTCTAGAGCTTAACTTACTTTGCGACTCTAGTCCTCTGCGTTCGCCGTCCTTCCTCAAGCCTTACACTCTTTAACAATATGGGAGTTCATTTTTTTGTACAACATGGAAAGAGCCAATGAAATGGGATCTGTACAGAAAGAACGAGCACGAGGTTGCACTTGCTCCTTGTCCCTTCGCAAATCACATTTTTCAAGTTTAATAATATTTTAAGCTTCTTCATTTTCCTGAATTCTTCAATCGGTCGCCGTGATTGGCTGACTCCGTTCTCTGAAGAAAAGTGAGCTCGGAGGTTTTAATTAGAGGCACAGTTTAAATATACCTGTCCACATACTACAGACCGTTTCAAGCAACAAGATATCTGCAGTAGATAAGCTCTGCCTCCAGTTTTCCAGCCCAAGCAGGACGAAAGGCCACGAGCACCTGCTGGAGGCAGAAAGATCCTACTTTGCTGCACTACAGATGGCTTACCCCTGACATCTTTTGTCAGGGGTAACTTTTGTTAGTTATCATTTCTACTTGTCGTTGCAGAGGGATACAACTGCAATACATGCTGCCTATACAGAGGTATGCTATAAAAAGTGCCTGATCGGCACCAAGGCCACCACAACCACTGCAGCTGTGACAAGTAATGCATAGCCGTTCAATGATTCATACTTTCATAACCTCATGTTACACGCCTGTTTGCACGAGATGTCGCACAAGTAAGAAGAAACAGCATGCGCTTCGATAGCTCAGTTCATTATTATGCCGTCATTACCTTGTAGGGACTGAGCGGCGAGTCTGTCACTTGTTGCAAAAGGAAACACACATCCACGGGTAGAACGTTTCCTAAATGCCTACTTGATGCGAGATAAGAATACGCGTCAAATGGCATCTGAAAGAGACGGACTCTTCCGTTTTCGGCCTATTTTGTTGTGCGCCGAGAAACTGAGGGAGTGGAGGTCACGAAAGCAGGCAGGGACGTCAGACAGCCGAGCTCTAGTTGGGGGTAGATGCGAAGCTATCTGCCTATCTCTTTTTACTCACACTCGGGACAAGTTCGAGTGCGAAACGCCGGTGTCCGGCGTTCGAACACTGAGTATAGAGACAAACGCAGCTAGCATTGCGTCTACCCACTAAACATTCGAACCAGAGCCCGGCGTTCTGAAGTCACCGCGCACTCTCGTCTCCTCCTCTCCCTTAATTTCTTGGCCCATACGAATAGATTAAACCAAGAATGGATAGTCGGCAGAAGGAAGCGCCTCCGCTGAAAAGCGAGTCGTTGGCTGGCTATTCGCGCCTCCATCAAAAAGGACGGCACCTAGCTGAAAAAGACTGAACTGGCGAGAACACGTCCTTTTGTGATGTCTGCTCGTCTCTTGTGGCTTCCGTGATTACAGGTCGGTGGTTTTTGCGCCATGGAACAGTTGTCCCGGTGACTATGTCGTAACTGTAGTATCGAGTCAACTCGTTACCCAGGTTGCTCTGAGCACAACCTACGTAACCGCGTGAACCAGACATTCCGCGTTTATCGACGTCCATCAGCACAGTGAAAGGATAGTAGCCAGTCCTTACATCGCTTCTTCAAATAAAGTCAAGCTTCCGGAAGCTCGCTTACGCAAACACGTCGCCGCAGGCTCGAAACGTGCAGGATAAAAAGCGGGGCAAACCATTTTAAGTCCAGTGCTTCCTTGCTCACATGCCTCAGCGTTGTGCGTTGAGCTTGCAAATGGCAAGGCACGACCGGTTTCAAACTGCCGTATTTGACTGATGAAGGGGCGTCCCTATAAGTCGCTGCAGTCGAGAATAGGGCTTTCCAGCGCTCATCAACCGGGCGAAAAATGTAGCGTCACTGAGCTGTGAACGCAGGTGCGGCGTCTGACCTACCGCACAACAGAGCAATAACGCATGCGCAGAAGGCCTTACACAGCCCAGCAAACCAAGATGGCACGCGCAGATGGCGATTTTCGGAAAGGCCCATAGTCAACGCAAACCTAGGAAACACAAGGTGTTGCGAGTTCCTGGCATCTCATTATCGCTCCTAAGCCAATCAGGGTGCTGGATTAGCCGGGAAGAACGTCGAGGATCGAATTGCCAACCAAGAGTTGAACGTTTTCAGCTACAGATATTTGCTAAAGAGCACAAGAAATTGGGCCTAGAGCAGCAAAAAACACACTCCGGAACTGTTTTAAATAAATATTATTCGTAGAAATACCATAAAACCAAAACTAACTTGCAGCTCTACTAGTCCGCCATCGTGTCGTGACGTCAAATGTTGCATAAACATCACCAGATGGGCAGCTGGAGCCCGTGTCACCCAGCGTCAGAAGTCATCAAAAGTCGTCAGAAAGCCGTTGCTTGTGGGAAACAATGAACTACGATTGATCGAGCTTGTCGAAGTCAAACAGCGACCAGCAAACGTCACGAGGTTTATAGCACGAGACGCCAGACGATTCGCCTCCGCATTTGATCCGCCGTCATCACCTCTGATGGAACAAGCCGTCGCGGCTGCACTCGCGAAATCCGACACATGTACCCAGATGCCGCCTCGAAAGCGGAATAATTTAGAAGGTTTTGTGTGATATTACGGTACGAACTATTTTTAAGCCTGCGACAAGCACGGCGCGAAGGCGTAGTGTTCGCGTCGGACTGCCCTGACCCACTCCCGTCGCAGACTTTTCGGTCGGAAACCGGTGAGATCTGCTGCCTTTCTTTGAGATGTTATCGCTCCACACACAAATCCGCCCCCCCCCCCCCCCCCCCCTGCCCGGCACCTCTATAGCATGCCGCAGGTAGCCTGAACCACACAACAAGCCGAAAAACCACAGACTATAGCTACAATGCACCACGACGCTGCGTCATCTGGTGTCAGATACAACAGCGTCGTCTGCTGAGGCAGCGTCGTCTGCTGTCAGATACAACATTTGACGTCACGAGCTGTCCCACCGCCGCCGCTGCTCGGTGTTGCCGGAAGAGCGGAGGTAAGCGATTCGGAGGTGTAGGCGTAGACTTCGAAATTCGTTTTCCCACCAAAAAATTCGTAAATTTGATTACTTCCTAGGCATATTGAGAGGTGGATATTCTAGTAGAATGTGAAGGTTTTATAAATATCGATGACAATCAATACTTCGCCGGAGCTCTTCGGTCATTTTAGGGCTTAAGAAGGCTGGAGATGGTCCAAAGAAAAGGAAAAGATAAATCGAATTGACAGTCACTTCCAGGCATTTTGCTATCGCTTCTCAATCAATGAGATGGCGGCCTTAGCCGATAAAAACGCAGAGGTACGAATTAGAGAGCAAGGAACGTGAATACCTTCAACCACGCCACGCGCCTCTTAGGTATTCGCCAACTGCAATGTATCAATCTCACTGGCTGAGGAGTAACACTCAGATCTTCAGGACTTACCCCCCCCCCCCCCCCCCCACTTCTTCCCGCTTTTCCTAAGCTGTCCCTGTCAAAGGTAGAAGATCGAATTATATAATCCGACATATAAGGCTACTCATTCCAACCTCAAACTGTTCTTTCTGGTATTTTCCCCCCATTGTCGTAGTGTTTTTTGTTTTTTTTTCGTAGACGCGATTTGCAGAACATTACGTAGACCTCAGTATTTATTTATTACCTTGTTTATTGATATTTCCCTCAGGGCCCGAAGGCATTACAGAGGGGGAGAGCACATACATGAAACAAAGATGGTTAAATAGGAACAGGTCAACAATAGTATATTTACACCAAACAAAGAAAAACAACAGGTCATGGGTCACTGCTAAAGTAGTTAGTAATCGAATTTCTAAACAGGTTACTATCAGTTTTAGTAGCAATCTACCCGGGCAGGTGGTTCCATTCCTAGGCTGTGCAGAGTAAAAAGGAAGATTGAAATGTTGCGGTAAATGAACTTAGAACTCCAACTTTGTGCTAATGGTCAAGACGAGATAAGATGTAAAAGAGGGGAGTAATCATCTTATTGCGTTGGAGAGAATTATGAAAATAAATTTTATGAAATAGACATAGGAGTGAACTTTTACGTCGCAATGAGACAAGTGGTAATTACAAAAAAAAAAAAAAATGTTCGTCCATGCGACAGCAGCAGTGCGATGGTAGTTGGAAAGAATGAAAGTGGCTGACCTATTCTGAATGGATTCCAATGCGGTGATTAGAGTATCGTGACCGGGATCCCAGATAGAGACTGCATATTCTAATTTAGGCCTGATTAATGTTTTGTAAAGAATCAATTTTATTGAATGAGTTGCCAATGAAAATTGCGTTTTAAGTAGCCCAACGGGCAGTTGGCACGGGTAGTAACATACTGAATGTGGGGTTTCCATGAAATTGTTAAGTGAACACCAAGGTACCTGTACGTTGCCAGTTGGTCCAAAAGGTTGCCATCTAGGTGGTAACAGGGACTGTTTGGTTTGCGGGACACTCTCATGTGTTTATGTTTACTATATTTTAGTTTCATTAGCCATAATTCACACCAACGTCGGCAGTTTCGTTTCATATATCTGTAAAAAAATAAGTTCTTCGAAGGTGCTGAGGAATGACTGTAAAAGATTTTATTTCTCTCATGCGGTCGAGCGCGCACTCACATCGTCGTTCGACATGGACCTTTTCCAAACACCCGAAAGAAAAATTACTTTACTTTCTTGCAGGTTCAAAAAATTACTTCAACCACGAGTTTCTGTTTTTTTTTTTTATCGAACTGAGCATTGAAGCAAGCTTAAGAACTGCTTAAAAGAACTGCATTTACCTATAAAACAGGAGAGAACTCGCCGACGGTTCACTGTGTAATCAAAGTCCCTATCGAGGGAAAAAAGAAACAAACGAGCAAATACGTTTGTTCTGTTGCACAACAGACACATGGGATGGCAACATAATCTTACGCTCCTGTTAGGGCTCACAAAAACCGCCCTTGTCTCAAAAAAGAAAAGAAGAGGATGGTATAGAAAGGGACGTATAATAGAGCCTTACTTAAGCATCAAAGGATTTACGAGAGCTTCTTGAGACAGTCGGCATATTTTTGTCCCTTAAAATCTCAGTTGCGTACTCGAACATTTTAGCATCAAGAGTCTTATCTGTTCCTAGCATCTACCCCTTGCAGTTAACGACAGCGAAAAAGACATTCTTTGTCCGTTATGATGGTACACACACACACACACGACAGTCAAACTCCTCAAAGAGAAAACTGCAAGGATCTGCTTGGCAAAATTTAAGACTTGCGTTTCCACCCACCTCTCCACTCAGGTAGCAGAAGAGCAGCGCGACGAAGCACCCCTGCGTAGAAAACACGAAACGAGAAAAAAAAAATCGCGATTAAGTGTGCAGAAACGACAAACGCACGCCGTCGAGGCAAAAGGCTTTGGAGGCAAAAGGCTTTGGAGGAAAACCTAAGATAGCGAAAGCAACAAACTCCCAATTTCCGAAGAGTTCTACAGTGTTGTCCCAGTATTGTGTTCACCTCCGCTCCCGAGAAGAGAAAAAAAGTACAAAATATGAGTTGTTCATAAATTAAAAATAAAAAAAAAACTACGTAATCATCAAACTTTTCACGGAAAGTTCGTATATTATGTATCGGGGTACCTATATTAACGGGTTCCGTATGAACAAGGCATGACAGTATAAAGCCATGAACTCCTTTCGTCTCGCAACAAAAAATCTACAAAACTCACAAAAGACAAAGGTTTGCAGGACCTAGAATTTAAAATTTTGGTATCGCGGAAAGTGTAGTGTCCGATTGCGACAACACTGAGCCCCTTCTCTTCATTTGAAAGGCCAGAACTGCGGTCTCCTTGGCAATAAAAGTTTAAATATGCGTGCGCACGCGTATCCAGGCTTTAAAAGATGTGAGCCAAAGAGGGCGCGGGTGCAGTTTCTAATATGAAGTACGAATCGGGCCGCTCTGCCCTGTCATCATTAATGCAAAGCTTCGGACTCGGAAGAAACAGCATTCATTTGCAGTCGAGACGGACGGACGGGTACTTTAGCAGCCGACTCTTTTCGACTCGTACCACTCAATTAGTGTAGCGGCTGCAGCGAACTGAATATAAAAAATTCAGTCTTCGGCGCGTGGTCACCTTTATTGTCAGACATTCGGTCATCCCTGTACAATGAAAACAACAAAAAAAAGGCTTTTTGCGTTTGCCCTTCAGGGTTGCACTCTGACTAAACGGCGCAACTAAACAAACTCTACCGCACAACATCCATCCCCGGGGATCGATTTCGACCCTCGTTCGTGCGTCACGGAGAACCCCTTCTACGGATAATTAGCTAAAATGTTTACGCTGTGAATACATCCGCTCGCATTCCTTTTTTTTAGCTAATCTAGTTTTCCTTTGTACGCGCGTGTATGGCCAGGCTAACAACCTGTTCCCTTGGACAGTGAGCAAGGGACTGCATCATGTGCAAACACACTCTTCGCTGTTTCTGCAAGTACGTGTTTTCAGGCCTAGCGCTTCCTGCTTACCCGCTACATTCAAATGATTTGACGTTATAATGACTGCACTGGACGAAGACATATTAGGGTGATGGACGCGTGTAGTTGAGATAATAGTCTCGCTTAAGAACATTTTCCTCGGTTCTAGACTATTATAGTCCTCTAAATTATCCACTTGACCGTACGTGCTAGATGTTCTTTTTTCGTTTCGAATGTGAACGTTAAAAATTTTACGTATGTTCGAAAAGTGATGATGGGCCTAATCTTTAATATGTTACGTTCTACAGGGTTGAGGCAGTTCACTTGGCTAAGGTCGGAAAAACTAAATTTTAGCATATTTATATCCCGGCTGAAGTATGCCAACCTCGCGAACCGTTCATGGTCAAACGAAAAACCACTCCGCGCGCAGCTGTGTGTTTAAAGTGGTTGAATATTTGCGTACACTAAGCGTAAACATTGATGTTTCGACTTCACTTCCCCCTGAGTGAATATACAAACATTGTATGTACACTGTGACGGTTTTTGAACACGACTTGTTTTTTTTTTTTTTTCCTTTTAAAACTTTCCACACATATAATATACCATAAAGCCTTGATATTTTTAATTCGTGCGCGAAATCAACATTAGTTTCTGCTCTCAGGTCTCGAGCTCTTTCTAAATAAACTAAAAAAAACAAAAAAAAAAACGCATCTCCACCTGGTGAATGATGTTGATTGGGGCGAATCTCTGCTGGTGCTTGTCTGCGTAGACCCTGAGCCGAAGCATGCCGAGCCTTTCGTTCGTTTTCATCCCTGTCACGCTGCGGTCAAATGCTCAAATGCGTATATAACCACGTTCCATACCACACATTCTCTTTCTGACATGGATGAAATCGAACGAAAGGCTCGGCATGCTGCGGCTCACCGCCTACGCAGACAAGCACCACCAGAGCTTCACCCGAATCAACATCATTCACCACGTGGAGATGCGGGTGTTTTTTTTTGTGCCCTGCACGAGCACGGGAGCACGTGCTCTGCTGCTCGTGAGCACGTGAGCTCACGAGCAGGAGCACGTGCACCCGACGACGGACGGACATACGGACATGGCTAGCCCCTAAGGAGCTTCGCCCCTAAAAAACACGTCGATCTCTTGTGTTCCTTCATCTGTTTTGGGCTCCCCAGATATCTCATCTGTACAAGGCAGCCAATTAGGACAATTATTCCAGGCTGACATCTCTATGGCACTTTGACGTCCAGGCCTTTGTCTCAGAAAAAGTTTCCGCCGCACTAAAGAGAGCGTCTCCTCCCACTGACAGGGGACTCTTGCCGATGGCGGACGGCCCGACCTCATTATCGTCTGACAGATAAAAGCAAAGAACACAACATAAACCGATCGATCTTCCGAGGAAATCAAACAAGTCCAGCCTTCCGAAGATCTTCCAAAGAAATGGACAGCGTCTCCCTAATCACAGGGAGATGCACGCGAGTTGGTAAAGGAATGCAGGGCTCTCCAATTAGAGATGTCAATACGATAGACGCCCGTGCTTTGTCGATCTGGTAACTTTTGCACCGCCAAACTCTGGACGTATGAAGCGAACAGAACATGTAGTGCATTTCTGGTTTGCGTCTACCGATGGGTATTCAAGATGGTGTGTTTTCGGAGGCAATTACACCACTATTCTTCGGATGGGAGTCTTCACAGAGTGTATTAAAAAAAGAACCAGTGCAGTGCCGGTGGCGATGTACCCTGATTAGGACTGAGCATAAGAAACTTCGGTGACAAAATGGCCGGTGCGTAAATTCACTAGACAAACGATATTTCAGTTGACTCGCGCAAGAACGATACTTACGCTGGGGACACCTAATGTCCTGAGCGCAACAATGCAAAACAATACTGTGAAAAAAAATAATTAAACTTTAGAAAAGCCGTGTCTAGACTGTAAGCTAACATCATCGAGAGCTTATATGCGCTGTTATTAATTTAAAGGAACACGACGCGATACTGGGTTAGAAATTTACGAAATATTCATACAATTACTTAGACACGAAATAACTAGCACGTGAGGTTGGAAAGCAAGAAACTTCATTTTGGCCGTTCAATTTATGAAATAAAAGCAGGCTATTTTTGTCTTTCTACTAGGAAATCTTGGTGACTTTATTGCCATCTGTCTAGTTTCAAGCGCTTCCGGGCGCATTACGGGCAAACGCGGTTGACGGACGGGACTCGAATACTGAGTAGCCAACCGGCTTGCGCTCGGTAACAACCGATCTGTCGTCCGTCATACCCGATATTAAGTATTATAACAGTCAGGATAAGAACCGTTGAAAAGTGGCTGGTGCATAGCTAAGGTTAAATGGTAGGCGTGTGAACTGATAAGAACCCGGCTGGAGTTACAAACTTTGATTTTTCAGCATCTTCCTAGTACAGAGGCACTTGCCAATATCCTGTCGAATGATAAGAGGTTTTACATTAACTGGTGCGTTACGTTGCATAGTGTCCATCAAGAGAATCATCTATGCGAGGTAATGGGTACATGTACTGTTTTGTGATGCTTTTGATATTTTGGTAATCAATACAAACGCACAGTCCAATCTTTCTTGCGCACTAAGACGACCGGAGACATTACCGCGATTGACAAGACTCTTTGAAAAAATCTTACAGCGTTTCAGGTGACATCAAGGTAGCACAGACGTCGCCAAATACGTGGCATCGTGCGTCAAATGTCAGTTACGAATAACTTCAAACCTCACCATCAAATGCAGCGTCCAATCCGTTCCGTTCCCTCAAACACATTTCGAAATTCTTGGCATCGACTAACTCGGCCCATTTCCACGTACACAGAATGTAACATATATGTTCTGGTCGCCATTTACTATCTCAGATAATGGGTGGAATTACGTGAAGCTTTAAATGCAGCAGGCGAACATATTGTTCAATTCCTGCGACAAGTTATTCTTCGACACGGTGTCCTTCGACTCATCGTGAGTTGTCGCGCCTCGCCTTTTCTTTCCCGTCCGTTTTGCAAAGAAAGGGAAACGCGTGACTTCAATACGCTCAAGCAGCACCATATCACCCTTAAAGTAATGGCCTTGTTGAACGAACGAACCGTGCCATCACCGACCTACTCGCAAGTTGCGTCAATGACCCACACACCAACCGGGACACTCTTGTGCCGTATGCAGCCTTTGCCATGAACATTGCTGAACAATTAAAAAGCACATTCTCTCCATTGAAGGCAGAGCATAGACGCTCCCTCGTTCCTGTTGTGCGAAGCCGGTACTAACGCTGATTGAAACCGAAGGGCGAAGCATTTCATAAATAGCTCTTAACACCACTTGCCAACAGTAGGAAAGAAAGCTCGGGATTTCACCCTGCTTGTGCAAGAACGGACGCAGAACTCACTACTCCATCATCACCACCATCTCCTGTACGGTGTGGAGACTGCGTTATGGTACACGAACATCTTCGGAAAAAGGGCCGGGAAGAAATGTTTTTTTCCCGATACAGATGACCTTGTCAAGTCCCCCACCAGCTGGGCCCCATGACATTTAATGTTTGTGAGTACGATGAGAGGTCAAATCGTAGAAATGCAGCAATCAAAGCGCTTCGTAACCGCTTTAGGCATTACATCCCTCATTCACCGGCATTCTAGGCACCTGAACGTCCCTGGTCTCGTCATCCATTCATCTAAAGGAGGAGGGCGAGTGTCAAAAGATGCAACAGTAGAGACAAAAACAAAAGGAAGACAAGTGTGCTTGTTTTAGTCGTGAGCCAAGCAACTGGGACGCTCGTCGGACTTTGAATAGACTGTTACAATGTGTACTGAATGATGTCTACTTTGCACAGTTCCTCATCTAGCGGAGTACCAAGCTGTAAACCAGCCCCTGCAAATATGGCCTTCTCTAGTTTGGTTTACGTTGCACCTTCATTAAATTGTTTTTTTTTATATCATATTTGGCAATGAGGACTTTCCATAACGAGCGAAAGGCCACGAATGCCATTCCGATCAAAGAATTGCTTTGATCGTCGGTATGCCGGACCGATGATCCCGCAGTCTTAGTGCGAAATACAAAATATATCTTCGCCATTGCGAGAGAAAACACATGAAGCATGGCTTTCAATAGACCATGATGAGGATGATAATGATGATGATGATCTTCCCCTTTGTAACGGCCGGGCTCAGACTGAGTTCGCTCCCAAGCCTGGGACCCCGTGGCTCTTAGTGGCCTGTGATATACAGACTTTCCCACCAGACCTCATGCACTTTTTTAGGTCGCCTCTACAGTAGGCTTGTGCAGACCGCTGGAGATCACGTTCGACTTTGTTGCAGGCCTGTCTGCATGTTCTCCCCGCCCTGTTCACTTGGATTGCTGAAGTTTCCCTGTTGGTTTAAGGAATCCCAACGCTTCAGCGAGCATCAGGGGGGTCTGAGGATGCAATCCATTGCCCTGCGGCCAAGTAGGCTGGAGACTCCACGAATCCAGAACGACGTGTGCCACCGTTTTGTCATGGGTCCCGCACGCCCTGCACACACTCGTGGTCCCAGTGTCGTTGAACCGCCGCTTATAGGGCAACATCCACAGGGCCACCGCTCGTGCTTCAAACAGCGGGAGACAACGTAGACTGTTGTCGTACAGCCGGGTTTCCGAAGTGATGATCTACTTATGTATCACGTACACATCCTTCGACCGCCCCCCCCCCCCCCCCCCCATGCGAATTGCACAGCGCCATCTAGCTGGAGGCCGAAGAGCATGCTCCGTCTCACCAGATGACTTCGGCGCTCGAAAAAGGCCAGGGCTCGAAAGCGTAGCTCTGAAGAATCCTTCACTCACACAAGCACTCACGTAGAGAATGCGCTTTCAAAAACCAGGCGCCCGCGCCCGTGCCTTTGCCGGGACTCAAAGGCATATTTGAGCCGAAGTGTATCGTCCGCCAAGTTGTGACCGGCAGGGCGACTGGCACGTACATGCGCAAGAAGAGCGTAATAGAATACAAACCCTTTGCTCGCAAGTGTGGGTGAGGATCGTTGACGGTGACCAGTAGGCATTGATTCTGATCGACGACGCTACGAAATTTACAAATAGCACAGGAATCTCGACGCAACAAATATGGCAGCTCACAAAGTGTTGCCAGACGTTCGAAAACTTTCGCATATGGCATATCTACTGGCGGAAAGTGCTTATCGGAGGAAGACAAATTATCGTTGCCGCGAATGAACTGTAGCGCAGGGTATTCCAAAACTTGCGATAGAGTTGTACCGAGCACTACATAACCGCATTGTCTTTGAAAGCGGTTCTTATATTGTTTCATAAACAATGCCCGGTGTCTGCATTATGTTGCTAAGGCCACGCCACACTCAATACTTACCATTTAAGGAAGAGGGGTTGTGGATAATGAGGGATCGATAAAAGTGCTCACACCAAACGCGGAATTTATCCTCACGTTCATAAACCAGCATGGTCTCAAACAAAGTCTATAGCTGCCAAACAAAAACATGCCTACGTTGAGTTCAAATCTTGGGTATTTCCGAACACGATTACTGCTTTAACCTCGAGTAAGCCTGATAATTAGTTCTTTCATGCTAATAACTCGAAGTAGAACCACCCCTAAAGTAGGTTTAGTTTAAAAGCGATCTCTTGTGTGACTTCGAATATATCGTCTCCTGAGCTAGAGTGAGCTCAAGATGGAGTTCACTGGTAGTACTTGGAACACAACCACTTCTAGACTTAAGGTAACAATGAGCTCACTTGCATAACTTGAAGCACTGTAGCCATAAAAAAAATCCAAGATGCGAGCTTGTCCTTACCTGGAGTGCGTCGGTGGTCCTGTTGAAGTACTGGTACACCTCCCAGGCTCCGCAGAGCTGCGGCTTGCGGTAGACGCCCAGCAGGAACTGAGTCCCGAACAGCGGGAACAGGATGATCACTGCGCGCACTGCCTTTCTGCGGAGAAAGAAGAAACCCTGGCTGAGCATTCGACTATCCGTCCCACTCCACTACTACAATAAAGGTGTTTGAAGCAACAACACCTTTAAAGGCCTGCAGTCGTCGGCTTGAACTAAATTATACTAAACAATTTATATTTTGGCGGTTTTTGTTTTTACTTTTGTAGGTTGCATGTTTTAGTCGCGAAGCCCAATTTATGCTCAAAGGCCGACGACCAGACTCGAGATTCTGCAAGGCAGAAGATCCTCCTCACCGTGGGGAGGAGGGATCTGGCAACGGTAGACAGGGTAAAAGGAGCGAGAGGAGAAAGAGAATTAAAAGTGGAAAGCGCGAACTGGCCGTCGGCCTTTAATGCAGCTTAAAAACAAGTCTCTGCGTCCATTTTTTCGCAGACACTAGAGAGTGCCAATCAGTGCGATCTACGGAGGGCAATCGACAAATGACAGAGCCGAAAACTATCCCTGTGATGCGGCACTGTGCGGAACACTTCACGGGCTCACACAATGGGCAGTGTCACGCCACAAGGTTCTTTAGTGTTTACGTGTATTTGTTTATGTTTATTTCAGTGTGTCGAACCGAAAAAAAATACGGGTTCGGTTACGGTTCAGGTTCAGGTAAATTTATTTTGTTTCGGTTCAGTTCCGGTTCGATTAATTCGATCCGCGAACCGGTTCGCGAACTGGTTCGGGGCGCTGAACCGGTTCGCGAAGCGGTTCGGAAATTATAAATGACAAATTGCAACATCAAAATAAATTACAAATAAAACATCTGAAATCAGCACATACGAAATGGGATACATCGTAGTGTAAGGCTCAGGGATTTCTACCAGGAATGGTTTCTTTATGTGCACTCAAAGGTTACCTCACCGACGTTTACGCATTCGGACTTCGTCTAATTGGATACGACGCAGTAACTGTATAATCTGCGACCTCCTTACAAACCCACTTACAAGTAGAACTCGCTAACTATCCCGCCACCTCGGCGTGTAAGCAATTGAAGGAGCAGTGGGGAGAAAATACAGCTTTCTTTATTTGAACTAGTCTTCGGTAACTCAAATTAGACCCTTAAACAAGTTTTCATTATACAAGATACGGAATATGAAAAACACTTCACCGAACGCAACGCCAGGAGGACGTAATAGGATAAATATTAAAACAGAAGAGCTCGATGTCTCACAAATATGTTAGCTTCTAAATGCCTATACGAAACCGGATGCATTATTATCAAACTCAGCAGCCTTTTCTTTTCTCATTCCGATGGAAGCAAGCTTCAAGAACTCGCGCGTTCTAGAAACGTGTTATGAAATGAGCACACAGCAGCATTTAGGATTTACGAGATTGTAGAAAAATAAAATCCCGTGACGCGATTTTTTTATTCTTTTTGCACAGCCTTCCAATTCTTTTCCGTGCAAGCCGCGACCAGCGCAATACTGGTTCCTATGACAAGATTCATGGATGCAGCGTTTGTCAAGATTCATGGATGCAGTGTTTATATTCCTAAGACTGAGTGGAGAAGAAAAATATGTAAGCGAGGTGTGTGTCAGTTGACGGCACTTAAAAAACAAATGGCATTGATAGCACATTCATTGTCAACAGCGCGTGGCCGAACCGTTTTGACATGAGCCGGTAACCGTTTTTTTTTCCGGTTCAGTTCCGGTTCGGGTTCATCGCGATAACAATATAACGGTCAGGACCAACTTGAATAGGGGGGAGACCTGTCTATCGCGCGCCCCTCCTATGGGAGAGCTACTGGAGCTCTAGTTGGCGTTGCGGCTACGAGGCGGCGCGCAAAGCCCTCCCATCGATTTGAACTGGAAAGGCTGCGCGATTCACGGTGCGATACTGAAACCGGTGATTTTGTGCAGCTTATGTGCGCAAATATGTCATTTTATTGAATTCACAGAGTAATATTTTTAAAAAAAAAATATATATATATATAGCTTTTTTCACTAATTACAAAACAAATTTTATGCGTGCTTTTTTATAGAAGTCCTACAGCTTCAACACAATTCGGGAAGTCGGTTTTTCCTCTTATGACCTACTTTGCCTGGTGCTCCTCCATCATGTTTGATGCAATGATCGTCAGAAAAGGCCTCGTAAACTTCCTGACGACGACTGCAGCCAGGGCCGGTTCTGTGATCTTGTCAGTCGTTGACTCCACAGGCAAATAGCAGGTTGCTCGCAATTGCCGGCAGAACCCTTTTAGTAAACGTCAGCAGTGGCTTCCTCAGTGCAAATAACCACGTCTGGGCAGAATTGGCTGCGCTCTCAAACGTAATCAGAAAGTTGACGAAGCGGGGGCTGGGGTTGCGCGGTACCCCACGGTCCAGGTTGTATGCTATCGTAACGGTTGTCCTGTTGTGTAGAGGGGACTTGAGCTGGTGCAAGCACCTGTCGCTGGCAATGTTGTCTTCAGCCGCTCTCACGAGGAAACCTCCGATGTGTGCCTCCGCGCTGGTTTGCAGTCCTGGAGCTGGAAAACCTACCAAAAATTTTGTTTTGCGTTTTTTACTAGTTTTAATTTGTTATAAACAATAAAATGGTTCCTTATCTGGGAACGTTTTAAGTTGTTTTAAGAAGGGTTGCAAAATATTCTTCATATTTCGTGGCGGAGCAGCAGGCTGCAGTCCTGGCTTTTGCAGCAGTGCACCGATATCGAACTGTGCCGCTCCTTTGTGGAATGCCCGTAAAAACCTACAAGGATAATAAATGATGATGAAAAGAATTTTGTGCAGAAAGGAGAGGGCGCCTTAGGCATCCGTTCAGCCCCACCGCAGAGAAGGGCGACTCTTCTCTGTGTGAAAAGAACTTGGACGTTAAAACGTACTTGACTCCTTGGTCCAACAGATTGCGTGTGCACAATGCAGTAGACAACGTTCTGATTGCTAAGGCCTCGCGCGTCTCGGACGTTAGAAATACGCTGAACGACGGTGCCGTTCTCTTCCAGTTGTCCACGCACTCGAAGAATCTGTTTTCAAGCGAAAATATCAAGGGGTCCATCGACTCCACCTCGGCCCCTCTGAGGCAGTATTCCTTTCGTTCACCGGGCTCGCCGTCCGTAGCAAATAAAAATCTTGTGTCGCCATGTATAACTGTTACAATTATCCTAAAAAAATGAATTGCACGCAAAAAATAAAAAATACAAAAATAGCATTTTTTTTTTTTTTTTTTTTTTTTTTTTTTGCGATGGTGGTGCGGGCGTCGCCGGGTGTTTCAAGTCAGCTTTGAATTGCACTGTTTGTCGATCGGATAAATCTCGAACACGGAACATCGTTGGCACCGCTCTGGGTTTTTTCTTTTTCTTTTTTTTTTTTTCAAATTTACATTCTCCTCATCGTCATCTGCTGTAAAATTTTGAGAGCAAAGGACAGTGCCCCCGCTATCACTTGGGCGCCATTGGGAGTTCTTTTCGCATTTAAGAGAAAAGAACGAAAAAAAACAAAAACATTGAAACATGTCCTGAATGCCTTTTTTTTCTTCTAATACAATATGACGCTATTATTTTTATTTTTCCAAATGACTGAGATGAAAAAAAAAGTCGAGACTTACCCGCTCTTGAGATTCTTTTAATCCATTCTGCGGATACTTGGTGATGGAAATTTGTGAAATAGAAATCATTCGCCCTTTTTGTTGTGCGAGGTACACAGCGGCACGCAACAGTGCACCAATTACCCGCAGTTCGAGTCGACACTTAAATTTTCGTATCGTAACACACAGATTCCAGAGGCGCAGCCACCTCGCTTCGGTGTTTCCCAAGGCGTCCCGGACTGGATCCGGGAGGAAAGGTAGGGGGGCTCCGAGCGCCACCACGAGCGTTCGTGAGGAATGCGCGTACTACTGAGCCGGCGCTGAGCCTCCGTTCAGTAGACAGGTCTCCCCCTTATTTAAGTTGGTCCTGATAACGGTTCGGGTTCGGGTTCAGCTCCGGAAAAAATACCGGTTCGGTTCCGGTTTTCGGTTCGGTTCGGTTCCGGTTCGACACCCTGGTTATTTATTGATGCGCACCAACAGAAATGTGCCTTCCTGTCTGTGCATCATAACAAACAAAAAAGAAACATGCACACGCACAGACACCCAATACACTAACATTATGCAAGCAAGAATACCGAACCTAAAAAAAATATTAAAAATCACATACTATATTTAGACATGACTAAGTTTTTTTTTAATGCCTAAAGGCATGAGCATGTCGACTGAAGGTGACACAGCACACTTAAAGGTTCCACTCGGGTGACAGGCCAAAGCTTCACTCGTTCTATTGATCTCAAAGAGCAAGAAGACAAACAATAAAAATAGAATAAAAATGGAAAGTTTTAGAACGGAGAGATTTCGAATCGCGGGTCGAAGCGCTTTAAGTGCCCCGAGCAGCTTGCGTGAGCGCTAGCGTCGGGGGCCCCTAGTGTGAAACTCTCGAATAAGAATTGCCTCTACGAACGCTTTGGAGGAAAGTACACGCATACGCATTTTTGGAGAAACACTTATTGCTCCGAAGATTTCGGGGTGAGGAAAGAGACAAATAGCCCAGCTATTTTCTTTTTCTTAAAATTTTGAAATTCATTTTATTTATAGAAGCAACAACACAGTACTACGTATTATATATCCGAACACCGATCGGCCAGTTTCATAACGTGTCCTAACAACTCTATGTTCAAGGCTATGATTTGTATGAAGAATTAGAAAGTTAGAAAGCGATAAAGTGCTCGTCTGAGACCTTGCTGATTTAGGTCAGTGAGAGAGAGGGTCATCTAATAGCCGTTCTTTATATATTCTCCGGTACCTAAAACTGTACATATTTAAGAAAAAAAAAAAAAAGACGGAGACGTCGAACGACGATAGGGGCAAACACAAACATCCCCCTTTTCGTCCGTCGTCTCCGTTTTTTTTTGTTTTTTTTTTCAAATATCTGTAACATTAACCAGCTTACCTGTTTACTTACTCTTTCTCCACTCAAACTACAGTTTCTTTCATCTTAAATTGGCAAAGGACGACCTCTACGTC